CATGTTTTAAGCTATTGCTGTGAAGGTGGAATCTTTAGAAAAAATTCCTCCTGGACACCAAGGATGTTCTGCATGCTTTGCCCATACTCTGTCACGTCTTGAAGGCAAGGGGACAACGATAGGACGTCAACGGATATGAGAGGGCCATTTCCAGGTCCAGGAATTAAAGCAGCAGAAGCACCCACCTACGGGTCCCGTACACTGACTGGTGGGGTCAGTCAATGCCAACGTGAGTACTGATCAAACTGGCGTGTGGGACCACTGTGGTTAACCATTTTCATTAACAAAAATAATTGACCAGTTAATTTACATAGTGGGACCCACTAGCAGTGACACGTCCAGGGGATTGACACTATTTTTTTTTTTTTGCGGCGTAAAGGGAGATTCTATGACTTAAAAGGAGGCAAATCAGCCAAAACTAGTTTTACAACGTCGTTCAAACCCGAGCCCAACGACATCGCATTACGGGCGTACTTCTACCGTAAGCAGCGAGTGCATGGCTAACTTTATTTTGCCAGCAACTAATAGACGTAATAGAAATTTCCGTAGAATCAGTGGCAACCATCCTCTGAATCTCCACGAGCACGCAGTAACGCAGTTGGTCTACCGACCTTGTGTTCAGCATCTTGACAGCTTCAACGCTATCCATCCCGATGAGAATGCATGGGCAGGTATGTATGGTGCAACGCAAGCGCGACCCCCTTCTTGCACGCAACTAACTCAACTTCCAGGTCATTATCGCATGTGTGGTTCTCTCTAAATGCGATAAAGATGACCTCCCCTTTCAGCACGCAACACCATGGCCCCTCCAGCTGCTCCAATGGCAGCTAATACACATGGCTGCCTTCGACGTTCAATTTCCTCCATCCGGAGGGAAGCAACATCCAGTGTTGCTTAACCTTCTGTTGTACTTCCTGATGGATTGCCGAGGTACTAATTTGAACAACCATCTTACCCTTCTCCATGTCACCTTAAGGCCATTGGTGAATACACATTAAGGAATTGATGTAGCCTTGGAGGAATCTGCGGGATGCTTCTATTGGTGGGGGATCTTGCAATGAGTAACTTCATTACACACATACCACACGCGCCACATGATCATGAGAACTACCAAGCATGGGGTGTCCGAGAGTGGATCCAACACTAAGAATAACCATTCAAGCCATGTGTTGTTGATGTCCTCTACCTTTGGGATGGGCCAATCTAGCGCCATAGCTCGCCAGAACTCTTTCACAAGGGAGTAAAATGCATCATAAGTCCTAAAACTATTGAAGGTGTGTCAATTTAGTCCTATATATTTGAAACTGTAGTTTCGGACACTACAAGATCACTACGACAAGGGATGTAGGAGCGGACAAGGCCGCGACGATGCCATCGTACCACGGGGCGGATCCATTCTATCCTATCATAAGATTTAGGGCAAATCCAATTTATAGGTAAGGAAACTTTTCTCCGAGTCTTTTTCCTGCTGAATATAATGGATGCACTCAAAGATCGCAACTAACCCATTATCAGTGATCATCCATCCAGGAACGAAAGCACTCTGAGCAGGCGAAATAATATCATCCAAAATAGGCCTCAATTGATCAACCAAACATTTTGCTACTACCTTGTATATGATGTATGATATCTGAAAAAATTCCTTCACTCCTTGGGTCACATGCCCTCATGACCGCCCAGTTCCTCTGGAAGTAGCTGGGATCAGGAACCCATCTGGCCCCGGAGCTAAGTGGACCTATCTGGAACAAAGCATCAGCTATCTCCTTATCAGTGAACTCTGCACACAGCCGATCATTCATATTGTTAGTAACATATGCGTTGATCAAATCAATAACTGGTTCAACACAAAGGGAGGCATCGAAAAATATGACGTTGCCGTAGCAGCCCTGGACTCATTGACCTTGTGGATCACGCCCTGTATCATCCACCAGAGCCTTGATTCGCTTTTTATGTGCCCTCTAGTAGTGGAGGATCTAGGGGTGGGGTGGGGGGGCATGGCCCCCACAAAAAAATTGCAAATGTACTTTTACTAGTGCATATTTATATATGTTATGCTCATTTTTATGACGTTCAACCATCATGTCCCATGCTTGCCCCCACGTTGGTAAGATTCTAGATCCGCCACTGCCCTCTAGACCACCTTCCAGTGAAAAAAAACATGTGTTATGGTCCTTTTCATGCAGTCATGCAATGCAAGACCTCTACATCCACAACCTTTCCTCACAATACAAAAGTTCATTCATATGATCATTCGCCTCCCTTATTTCTTTTTGATCCATTCATAAACACAAGATCCTCAAGGCGAGAACGAGACTTATTGATCTCTTTAATCACATTACCAAAAAAATTGCGGCTCCAGTCCTGAAGCTTTTTCATCATGCTATTAAGGTCAGCCGCAACGTCGCCCAGGTGAAGCATAGATCCCAACTCCATCCACGTATTCATGATGACCTCAGGGAGCGCCGGGTCTCTCTCCCACATCACCTTGTATTGGCGACATCCGGTGACTCATCCATCATGAACTTGAGCATGATGGCAAGGTACAGTGGTCCGACAAGGGGGCTCATCCACCTTGATGTCTGAGAAGGTGTCCCGCTAGGCGTTGTTAGCCATGGCACGGTCCAGCCGGACCTTGACGTTAGCCCTTCCACTTTGACGGTTATCGTATGTATATGGAAGACATGCAAAACCGAGATCACCAAGGCCACAGACTTCCGAAACATCACGAAAAATCAATCATTTCACCTGCCAACTGAGGTGTTTCGAAGAAGTGTTCGAAGCTCCACATAACCACATTGAAGTCTCCAACCACAGCCCACGGCATGTCGGCTTGCTGGTGAAGATTGCGATGGAGGGACCACATGTGATGATGATCCTCCGTCCGGGGCTCACCGTAGACGCAGATAAGCCTTCAAGGTGGCTCACCAACATCAACAGTCACATGCGCATCAATATATCTTCATTTGTAGCTTTTACATAAAGACTCAACGACTCATGCCAATACAAAGCAAGACCGGCACCAAGATCAACACTATCAAAACCACTTAAACCTAATCGAGCACAGTACCTTTCAATTTTATTCTTAGACCCACGAGATTGCAAATTGTCCATGGCTTACTATATGCATTGCTCCTGGCGGGGTCTAGGCCGACTTCCTCCGTAGTGTTGGTCCTCTCCTGCATATCCTGGTCATGGATTTCTCCTCCTCCGTCGGACTAGTATCCCTCCTGAAGCCCCTCCGTCTTGCACTTTTTTGGTGTACCTGAAAGCAAGGGGTTAGCCAAAGTGGCTATGTTAGAACATAAGAATTACACCACCAAAGCTTGGTTGTCATCCGCCAGCCCGGAGCCTACCACATGGTCATCGCCATCTTGCGTTTGCCCAGAGTTGAGAGGTCATCAGATAGGTCCGTGTCCGTCATCTTTGCGTCATACGACAGATTCCGCGACCGTGGAATAATATCGGAGCTCCTTGGTTGAGATTGGGCCGTGTTCTGGGCATTCTTGCTACTAGTCTGACTAGCTCACACATTGCGGTATGCTTTCACAACAGGGTCACTTCTCCACTTCATAGGAACGTCTAGGTCAGTACTCCAAAATTTTCTTCATACCATCATAAGCTTGAATGATTAGAGGATCATGTTCATACTACCACGACCCTCCCTTCAGAACTCGTACCATATCAGCTTCACAACCAAAGTGAACAAGGTACTTGTTGTGCCCTAGATAGGTGTAATCCAGGTCCTCCTTCAACCGCCATCCAGCTTCTATGTTCTCAAACAAAGTTCTCGGTGTTGGCCTTTCCAGGGAATAAACGAGCATGATAACAGTCCATGGATGCACCTGATTCTTTCTGGAGAACACCACCTTCCTCAATACATCCTCACCTTCCATGAAACCTTGGGGGCCATTTACTTCGGATCTTTCCTCCTCTTGGGGCGGGGACGGCAGAGCTGGCGCGCCCATCTTTTTCTCTTGTTCCCACGCGACGAGTGTCTACTCCCAGGGGTGTTCCTCACCTCAAGGGACTCAACATCCCCATCAGAAGGCTCGGGTGAGCAGCATCCACAGAGGGAGCCCAGTAATTGCCCCCACAGACCTTCGGTTCTGCCTCGGTCCCTGTCAGCTCGCACCCACAGACTGCGCAAATGTTGGCATCTTGGCGTGTTGGATATTGCACGGCGGCGGCACAACAACGAGAGTGGATTGATCTAGCAGTTTGTACAGTTTCTGGTGCTTCTCTGCTCCCGGCCTCCCGCCCTATGCTGCTTTATGTAGGCGAGTTTCTCGGGACGGCTCAAGGAACCTTGAGCCTTCCCAACTTTGGAATGGACACTGCAGGATTGCTACGACAAGGAATGTTGTGCGATGTAGGGGCGGACGAGGCCACGGTGATTCCATGGTACCACGAGGGCAGAGACACTGTTCTGGCGACTATTCCAACGACAGAGGTGCTCTACGAGATTATGGACTCAAGCCGCGTGGATTGGATAAATAAAATTGCCAATTCTGATTAGAAAAAAAGAATAAATATCAAGCGTTAGAGGAACTACTGAACTCAATCACTTGCTGTCGTTACTCAACAGTTTGGTACTTGCAAGGGATACAGGATGGCCGGGAACGGCGGCGGCAACCAGAGATCAAGCAAAAAATCATTCCAAAACATTAACATATTTCTTTAACATGGGATGTACATCAGTTTCAAACCGTTTATGCAGGAAGGAGGCTTGAAGAGATGAAAGGGCATTCACTCACTATGATCTCGCCAGCTGCTATTCCTCGTGTATCTTTAGATCATACATGGCCTTTCTTCGAGTCTAACATCCCTCTGAGATACTACCTTCACAAGGTAATTCTTGTGCTCTTGTTTTTTTTAGCAAAACAGAACAAGGGGCACTAAATTACATGTGCACAAGTTATTTCTAATATCCACTAGACTACTACATATGGTCAATCACACTACATCTAATATGGAAACCTTCTCTTTTTCCGGCAGCCAGTTCAAGAGACTCTAGTACCTGTTATAAAGAACAACACAACTCAAGTGAGCCTTCTTCTGCACGCAAAACTCCTCTCGCAAGGCGAATGTTTTTCAGCATGCAAGTGATATCTAATACATACTTTTTTTAAATGATTTAATTTGTATTCTTTGCAAGATGTCACACAACTCAAACTTAGTGCCACATAAATCACAAGCGTAGACACAAACATAGATCTCTTAGCCGATTTCCCCCCTAAAATTTACAACTTTACAGACAACCTAACATGGATTCTTTGGTGAAAAAAAAAGATGGATGAACTCTGTACTCAACAATTTACTTTTGCTGGACCAGCCATTTACGAAAACCAGAAACTCCCAAATAAATCAACGAACAATATCAACCGATGCTTACAAGGGATTAGAGACTGCTGTTTGCAGATGCATTCCATGATTGTTAACATAGGGAGTGTACGAGGAATTGATATGGCAACTTCATGAAAAAGTTTCGTGGTTAAGTGTACACACGGCACTTGTACCCTGCACCACCAAACTTCTTCATCATGGTACCACATGGAGAAGATATATGCGGCAAATCCAAATGCTATACACTCCTTCCATTCCAGAATATAAGGTGCATCAACTTTCGCGCAAGTCAAACTTATGTATGAAGGGGAGCCTTGGCGCAGTGGTAAAGCTGCTGCCTTGCAGAAAATATGGTTCAAGTCCTGAAAACAACCTCTTGCAGAAATGTAGGGAAAGGCTGCGTACAATAGACCCAAAGTGGTCGGACGGACCCTTCCCCGGACCCTGCGCAAACGGGAGCTACATGCACCGGGCTGCCCTTTTTTTTATAATACAAAATAAGAAAATTATTTTCGTGATGGTACAAATATTTTATTGTAGATATTGAAGTACTATTTTCTAAAAACTTGATAAACATGCACATGTTTGACTTTTGAAAAACTAAAACACATTATATTTTGGGATGAAGGGAGTAGTTTCTAGAATTGCCAGAAGAAAATATGGTATAGATGTGGGTTCTCTGAAGCTAATAGCTCATAAATAACATATCTGAAAGTTTTAACAATCAAATGAAGGACCCAACATAACAGCTTCAAAGACTGGTGGCTCTATGCTCGCCTTTCGATTTCAGGAAACAAGAGAAAAGGTTTTTTATAGCCTATGTTCCCTGTGAGCTTGGTCAATCTGGAGGGAAAGAAACTATCGGAATTTAACTGTCAGGCTGCAGCTCTTCAGAACTTCTTGTTTTGACTAGAAGCTCTTCAGGGCATGGATAATAAGCTCAGTGGTTTACAATTTGTGGAGTCTGGCCAGTGTTAAGGGCCAGAGCAAACTGGTAGTTGTTGTAAGTTGGCAAATTGCCTGTTTCAGTTTAGTTTGGGCCGTAAAATGTTGCAGGCCGGGTCAAGGCTGTTTCTTCCTTGGTCTTCATGTACTAAACCTCTTTTCTTTTTCTTCTATAAAATACACAGCCCTTTTGCATGGTTAGAAAAAAAATAGAAATCAAATTAAGGACCTAGAGGGGCTGCATCAGAGAGCTCATTATGGGTAAGTTTAATGTGAGGAGAAAAACAAGTAGGAGGTTGGAAGGCTGAATCTTGCTAAGTGTAATGAAACAACTAAATGCATTGAGCAAAACAATTGGGATCCATACAGTTGCTCGGAGAAATGAGTTTGAAGCAGAGATAAGTATGCTTGAATCACAAGGGCATGATACGCTACAAGTCATAAACAAAGATAAGACATGTTCATGCAGTGCGTGGTAAGTTTTTCGGAAGACATACCTTCATGCATTGGCCTTCAGATGCTCAATCAGGGGAGCTGAGATCCAAGCACATGCCGATAATTATTACAGCATTGAGATGTTTAGGGAATCATATGCTGGGTCAGTACCATCCATGACAGATTCACTAGATACGACACAACTGGGTGAAAGTCGACTCGGGTTGCAAAGTACACCCACCAACTCTAAAAAGGCCTCCAGGCAGACCCAGGAAGCAGACAATTAGGAGATTGTTTTTTAACCTGGTAGAAAGGTGGTCAGGTGCAGAATTTGTAAGGGGGTGGGCCATATGACGAAAACATGCAAGGAGCCAAAACCCGAGCAAGAATTCCTATGATCTTATCTGATGTTGATGAGGAACCAACTTCAAACTAATGTGTTCTCTCATGTTAATTTGTTTTACATATCATTGCTTAGTACTGAGTACTATGTTTAATCTTATAAATCATTGCAGAAAGAAATGTGCAAATGTGATTGAAGAACCTGTAGAAACTCGAGAACAACATCCAAGGAGAAGGTATGAGTATTGGACATGCTTTTAGTCACATTTTTACTGCCCACTGTAATGTTTTTCGCTCAATAATCATTTCAGGAGAGAAGGTATGAGGACTGAAGAATCTACAACTAATTACAAGAGGTATTAGTCTGATTTGTACATATTTACATGTGCAAATAGATTGAAGAACCTGTACTAACTATATTATATTGTCTTTTTAACTCTAGGAAGAAAACTTCTGTCAACATGACTCCTATGAAGAAGCCCACAGCCAAAGGAAATGACAAGATAACTCCAGTGAAGAAAGCTGCACCTAAAACGAAGGAACATGGAGCATGGATGCTTTGGTGACAGAAACATGGATGAATTCTGTTCTCAACAATTTACTTGCTACACACGCCCATTTACCAAAGCCATGTAAACCCAAAATATCAACATAGTTTATAGTGTGGTATGATATTTGTAAGCATCACATGGATGACATAAGAGTGTATTGCACAATGCACATAAGCTTACACAAAGGACAGACCCAGTGCATAGAAGCTCCCACACAAGGTGGGGTCTGGGGAGGGATTATAGGAACCTAGTCTTACCCCTGCAAAGTGCAATGCAGAGAGGCTGGTTCACAATTAAATTAAAATATAATATATCTACAAAAACTGGAATATACATACTTGAGAATCGAACTGATAATCTAGATAATTTGTAGATGGGATCATGGGACTAGTTAAAAGAGGAGACGCGTACCTCTTGCAATAACTTCTCCAAGGTCTGATACAGTTGCAGTCAACTCTACGGTCCTTCGGCATTTTTTGAGTGTTTGAAACAACCCAACCTATGGAGTTAGCATAACACATTTCTCAGTGCTAACATTTTGCTAATAATACTTCTGTACAAAGGAATGAATGGCAGGGATCAAGCGAACTACCGTTATAAGATAGAACTGAACTTACAGAAATATGAACTTCAGTATTACGGCCATTTTTATTATCTGAAGGGTGTTTGCATATGCTCATCAACAGATTTTCCAACTGATAATTTCAGAAAAAAGAACATAGAAGTCAAGAGCATGAAGCTACCGAATATCACAAGTGTAATTTATTTTCACTTTATTAACCTAACAAATCTTAATAAACCCACCTGAACTGTGGTAGAAATGCATTTTCCCTTAATACATTCAATAAGATCACCTTTTTGGATTCCACATTTCTCAGCATTAGATCCTTTGGACACCTGAGGTTCAATTGCCAAATAATTATACCATATGCACATGGGAAAAAGAGCACCTTCAGGAAGGCATTATATACCTCTCTAACAACAAGACCGTCATCAATGTTATACATACGACATAACATGTCAACATGAGCAGGCTCTAGGAGCTTGATGGCCTCAAACCTCATCCCAAGATGGGGCCGACCAATGTACCTACACCAAGTCAGGTACCATTTAACATATTTCGAGCAAGGTATACATGGGTAAGTAACGCTTCCAAAATAAGCCATTTTAGTGGAATCCAACTTCTATCCTTTTTTTTTTGGAACAAGGACTTCTATCTAACACGTTTAAAATTTCCCATCACTAGCCAAATATTTTGATTCAAATAGATTTCAAAAAGGCCCAAAGGGGATGAATCATTAATAGTAGTTAGAAACGATCAAAGAAGATTTTTTTCATGATGTTACGTAAAATCGAAACATCAAATTTAGATGAGATCAATTGAGTATCACAAAAACATTTGTTCATGAATATCTCCTACGTTTAAATTCAAGCCATCCTTAAAAAAGATGGGTTAAAGGAAAATTGTCCATCAAAATTGAGAGAAAACAAAGTTTTCCATTTAATACTCTACACTTTGGATGTAGATAGTGCTAAAGAGATGCGAAGCAAAATTATGAAGTCTTATCAGTTCTATCTTATAAATAGTTGTCATGATGAAACATTTATAATCAAGAGTGGTTCTAATTGTTTCTTTCCGTCTAGGCCCCATCAAAGATCCAGTGCTTGATTTGCTTATAAATGATTGTTGCTATATTACATATTGCAGCCACTTGTTCAAACATATCACTGTATATATATAACACGACAATGACTATACTATTTTGAAAATCTGAACATAACTTAAAGGGCATACCAGTGCTCAAAGCTCACAAACAAAGTGGGGTCTGGGGAAGGGGATTTCTAGACAGCCTTAGGCCCCGCTTGGTTCCTCGTTTTAGGGCCCAATACACCTGTAAAATATACCCCTGTAAAATAAAAACGGATGGGCCTGTCATTGGTGCTTGGCATGTCATTTTTGGGCTGTAAGTTTTACACTGGTTTTCTCGTTTACACCCGTATCAGGCCGGTATCTGATACAGACCAGAGGCCGTCGTTTTTCCCCACCTCGCCTCTCGCTCGAGACCTAGATCGAATTGCGCCGCCGAGAGGCGCCGGCGCTGGTGTCCACGAGGTGGTCAAGCAACGGCGTTCGCGACGGCGACGTGGTGAGGCGCAGAAGACGGTGGCCACGACGGGGGTTAGGCGCGCCGACGACGGCGACTCGTTCCTGGCCGCGACGGTGACGGCGACTCGCTCCTGGCCGCGACAGTGACGGCGACTCGCTCCTGGCCGCGACGGCGACGTTGGCCGGCAGCCGTGACCTGACGTGACGGCGAATCGCTCATCCTCCTCTGCTCCACCAAGGTATCCTCCCTCCTCCTCCTCCTCTGCCATCCCTCCCCGCCCCTTCCCCGTTCAACCGGCGGCGGAGTACTCCTTGGCGACGTGGCCGTCCTGCTTGGTCATGATTAGCCCGAACCCTCCTGCCAGTTAACAGCTGCTGCCAAAATTTCACAAGAATTCAGTTCATTAGCTGCTGTCGAAGTTCAGATTGATGTAAACCTAGAAATACTGATAAACAAACAGATGAACAATGGTCCGATGATTTGTTTATGAACAGGGTCCAATAAACTTCCATGGGTTTATGAATAGTTCATCTGTTTTCTTTGTCCAGTTGTGCAGATAGAATGCTAACTAAGTTGGGCCTGTTTGATAAGTTATATAACTGCAGCACCTATTATTGCTACTGATATCATTGGCTCATTGCTGCCTTTGTGCAATGCAGAACTGTTAAGAGTGATTTGGAGGATTCAAGATTCTGTGAAGCTCTTTTGACATTTAAAGCTCAGAACTGAAGGTACTTAATAAACTCAAAAGCATTCGGTCCAGCTTGTGTGTGTGTCACTGATTTATTCTTCATTGTTTTGCGTATGTGCTTGTCTATATACATCTATACTCAACTGTTACATCAATCAATAAAAGTATGGTAATATCTTTTCATGTTACACTAATCTCGTTATCTTGATGTGCTAGTGCTCCTTTTATTCCAATGTCATAACATAGATTATATATACTACTGTGTTTACTTTGAAGGAGAGTTGCGGTATTTATTTTGTAATCTCTTCTCGCTAGATAATGGATACGAGTAACCATGATGATGGATATGAGTCATGTACTGATTCTGAGGAGGAGGAGGAGGAGGAGATGATGTTTCTTGTCTTCCCAACAATATATTGTATATCTTCTAGGAGGGAAAAGATTCCAGTGAACACATCCATTCTTACGGGAGCTAAGTATATCCGAGAAATATTGGATGGCCACCCTCAACGGTGCCTTGATATTCTTAGGATGGAATCCCATATCTTCCAACTTCTATGTGACCATCTTAGAATGACATGGATGATGTTCCCGACGAGGTCAAAATCTTTGCCTCTGATGTTTTCAAGGATGCAGCAAATCATGAGATTTTCCTGGGTTACAACTCAAGATTGCGGGGTATGTGGCTAAAGAAGGAAGTCGACAAGATTAGTCCTCAGCCTCCTCCTTGTAAGTACCATTATCTTGGTTTTCTGCATTTCTTCTCCCCACTAAAGATAAGTTTGTAAGGCTTAGTTGAGTGAGTATTCCTTTGCAGCTCGGTTTTCATCTGGCGGTATTCCTTCAATCAATCTGGTGCTCTGATCAAAGGTATTGTCTGTGCTCCTTTTATTTCCATTAGGTGAAGCATACCTTGCTTGCTCCTGGAGTCCCTTTGGCCTCAACGAGGCCCCGCTAGTGGGAGGGAGTAACATAATATTCTGGACATGTTTGTTATTATCCACAATAGACCTGTGTTGAGAACTTGCAATTCTTGGAGCTATCATTTTTGCATTCAAAATCATATAGACCTGCTGCTGTCTAGAACATCTTTTCTTATTTAAGATGTTGTTTATATTGCTGCCATGTTGTTTCTTCATATCGGTGTTTTTTGAAAAATAATATGGTTTCTTTAAATTTAGTGACATGCTATGGCTACCTTGTACCATCTGGCTCCCCTTGGTAATTCAGGATTTTGTGCTAATCTTTTTGACATACATGGTTGTTCTTGACATGTGTGGCTGGTATCCTTCATAGAGCACAAAGTGTTCTTACATAGCTAATGTTTTTCAATTTTTTTCTTTTCAGGATGTCCTTTCACATGATTCTATGATTACCCGAGTCCATGAAGCAATCAATAATCTTCCTGAAATATTTTATGTCTAAGCGCACAATGGTTGAACAATTGCCTCAATAAATTTGGTTATGTAGCATGCGGACGAGACGAGACAAGTATGCCTCGATAAATTTGTAATTTAAACTACTGACTTTGAGCACTATGAGTTATCGGAACTATGTTCAAATGGATGATTGCAAAAATGTTATCCTTTTTTTGATGTGGTTGTACTGTTATATAAATCAAAAATTTAGCTCATTTTATACCTGTGCAATTTGTGTGGAAGTGCAGTCTGTGCTGTTGAAAATTCTGTACGTGTGTATTAGAAAGTCTGTGCTGTTGAAAAGCTATACATTTGGGTGCCATGCATGTTTGAACATATATGTAGTGCTGCAACTTGGGCGCCATGTATATTTTACAACCGAATTGAAACTGGAGCCAACTTACAGGGGTGGCAGAAAAACAACATTCCAAGCGGAGTCTAGAAGCGGAATGGAAATACAACCCTGTGGCATGTATTCGGTTTGAGACTAGTATAATACAGGTGTAAAATGTTACAGGGGTGGCAGAAAAACAACATTCCAAGCGGGGCCTTACCCTTGCATCGTAATTTTGCAAGGAGGCTGGTTCGAACCCCAAGACCTCCAGGAAACAAGTGGAGAGACTACCAATGGGCCAGGCCCGCCCTCCAAAATCTTAACATCTTATGGCCATTAAATTGCGTAAAAATGAGAAAATAGACACTAGTTCGACCACTAACAACAATAAAAAAAAATAGGGCAGAACACATTACCAAACAATAATAGATAGTATCAGAGAGCTGAGAGGAAAAACGCACCGATATTTCTTCCATGAATCGAAACAATTGAGCAAAATGGAAGAAGGTATAAAAGACCCAAATCTCTCAGGGTCGTTGACCATTCCAACAACTTTTCCATTCAAGTCAATAACTAGCCCCCCATTGTCATACTACAACAATTCATATGGGCAAAATATGAGATTTTGCAATATATAACATAAAATGGCATAGAAAACTAAGTTGTAATATATATAACTATCTCATGATAAGATATATTACCTCATTATTATCATCGTCATGGCCATCTGGAGAACAAAAGTACACGTTGTGGTGCCGCTCAAACAAGTTTGGATTCAGATATTCTGCCCTAGCATATGTTATCCTTAGATTTAAGGAATTGTCTCTTCCTAGCTGAAAAACCTCTTGAGCAAATTCTACATCTTTTTCACGAAGAGATGGTAACTTGATTGGTTGATCCACCTCAACATTCAAGAAAGCGATATCGTAATGGGGCTGATAGTAGACCAGCTCGCCCTTTGCACTAGTGCCATTTAGCAAATGAACAGTGACCTAAAAGAAAGTTCCAGATTTATAAGATTTTTTTAACAATGCCTAGTAAGCAAGTGGCATATGATGTTTCCATTTTGTTATCAGAAAAGGCCAGTAGCTAGCACAAAAAACATGTACTTTGTACTGGTGCCATCTAGCAAACGAACAGTGACCTAAGAAAAATGTTCTGGAACAGATTATATAAGACTTTTGAACATGCTTGGTGAGCAAATCGCATATGCTGTTTCCATTTTGTTATTATAAAGGGCCAATTGCACGCAAAAAAAAAACATTTGAATTGCAACCAGTTAGATTTACACTGGGGATTAAATTATTTATTTGGGGGTGGAAGCGGCTGGGCTGGAAAAGAACGTACATGGGTATATATATATATAGAGAGAGAAATTAATATAAGAAACACTAGATTTGACTCACATCAGCATTAGGGGCATACTCTTGGCCGCCTGTCCAGACGCTGTAAGGAGCGTCCTTTGTGCGAATCAGCCGTGCAGTTGTCAAGACAAGGCCGGTTTTCTTCTCCGCATCCCAATCGACCCAGAAGCCGGAGCACCGTCTCAGCGGCTCACCATCTGCGTGATTCAAGCGCGATGGATATGGATATATACATACACTAAGTTGCGCAACGGACGATGGATCAATCAATCCAAAACAGAGAGGGTGCAAAGCAAAGCTGCATAGATGTACACATAATACAGACCAAGGGAGGATGAAACCCCTAGAAGGAATTTGGCGGCCGAGAGGACGGCCTGGCTTCCGGATTCACGGACGGAGAAGAGCTCGGCAATGTGGAACCGGGTCGGGGGCTTGAAGTGATCGAGCGTGGGGATTTTCACAGGGCGGGGAGCTACAGACAGGCAGGCAGGCAGGCAGGCGGCAGGAGCATAAATAGATAAACAATTATAGTAATAATAAACTGATGAAAAAAATGGATGAGGCGGACCTGATTCTTCTTCGCGTCTGGCCTGCTCCGTCTTGGCCGAGTAGTCATGGCCCAAGGACGGATCAGGCGACCAGACCTCTTCCTCTTCGCTCCACACATCCAACTTCCTCTTCTCCGCCAAGGGTTCGTCTCGTCTGGTCGGATAAGCCGCCATGCTCCTTTTCTTGTTGGACCCGCACTCGTCTTCTTTCCCGGATCGCCTCCACCGCCGCAATCAACCGATAGAGGAATCAACCGATCCTCTCGCAATCGCGCCGCCGCCGCCGCCGGCCAGTGGGGATTTATTCGTCGGTGTTTATTTGGAAGGCCACCGTGGTGGTGGTGGCTAGTTTTTTTTTCTTTTTTTAGGGCTGGTGGCTAGTGTTCCGCAACTCCGCCGGCGAGTCCGGTCCGAGGTTGCGGAGCGAGGGGCGAGCGTCGTAGATGAAGTAGTCGAACACGCGAAAGTAAATGACACAGAGAGATATGGAGGAGACCAGCTTTATTAATCAATGATCAGGTGTTACAATGATGGCTCCTCGTTGTTTTATATAGGGGGTAGGGGGTCAAGGGATAAGTACCCACTTAATGTAAAGTGGAGGAAACGGGAGGGGCTAGCCCGTGCGATACGCACGAGGCCGCCGCCACCCCTCGATGGCCCGGTTTCCCAACACTCACCCTTGGTAATTATCTGTATATCCATGCCTCAAAACTCCGAAAAACCCAGTGGGAAAAAATATGGAGAAAGAGCACACAGCATACGTTGTTGTATTGCACGAATTGCCTCGTCAAAAACCTCGTGTGAGAAACATCAGAAAAACTCACTCAAGGGAAAAAGAGTACAATCCACTCAACCATCAAGTTGAGTACTCGATCATCAAAAGATTTTAGCGACGAGTTTGTGAAGTTTCTCCCCCTGAACCTTGCATCTCTCTAAGTCTCATCATACTGATTCCACGCACACACCTCTCTAAGGTTGATGCCGGTAATGATTTAGTGAACATATCAGCAAGATTGTCACAGGACTTAGTATGAAAAACTCTCACCTTGTTCAATTGCTGCAACTCATGTGCATAGAAAAACTTGGGACTAATATGCTTTGTGAGGTTACTCTTCACATAACCCATCTGGACTTGTGCAACACAAGCAGCATTATCTTCATAGATAATGGTAGGGGTTTATACGGTGTTCAGCCCACATGTTTGCTGAATGTGGCCGATCATCCGCCGAAGCGATACACATTCTTTTAACGCTTCGAATAGTGCCATGATTTCCGAGTGGTTCGTGGAAGTCGACACAAGAGTTTGCTTGAACGATTTCCATAAAAATGTAGTTCCACCACAAAGGAAAACATATCCAGTCTGCGATTTGCAATCATGCGGGTCCGATAGGTACCCAGCATCGGCATAGCCTATAATAGATAGGTCTTGATTCCTTTTATAAAACAGGCCAAGATGTTTGGTCCCTTGCAGGTAACGGAAGACGTCCTTGACACCTTTCCAATGTTTTTTGGTAGGTTCAGAACTGTACCTCGCGAGCAAACTGACGGCGGCCGTGTATAGTTTGCGAGATACATGAGTGCTCCAATTGCACTCGGGTAAGGAACCTCTGGTCGCAGAGTTTCCTTCTCCTCTTTCTTTTGCCTGAACGGGTCCTTGTCTGGTTGTAAAGATCTCCTGACCATCAGGGTCTTAGAAGGATATGCCTTATCAAATCCAAATCTTTCCAACACCTTCTGGCTGTAGGCCGACTGGTGCACTAGAATCCCATCAGGGGAATGTTCAAGTTGCAGACCTAGACAGAACTTGGTTTTACCCAAATCCTTCATCTCGAATTCCGACATCAGGTAGGAACTCGCTTCCTCAATATCCTCAGGTGTACCGATTGTGTTTAAATCGTCCACGTACGCCGAGATTATACAGAATCCGTCTTGGGATCGTCGTATGAAAACACATGGGCAATCTTTATTGCTCGTGTAGCCCTTCTGATTGAGGAAATCGCTTAAGCGATTGTACCACATTCTACCAGATTGTCTGAGTCCGTACAATGCCTTTTGAAGTTGAACACTGTATAGACTCATGTTTGCTCTATCATGGTTCGGAACAGGGATACCTTCTGGAACCTTCATGTATATGTTCGAATCCAAATTACCATACAGGTAAGCAGTGACAACATCCATTAGTTTCATTTTCAAGCCCATGTTTACTGCCATCGAGATCAAGTATCTAAAGGTAACTCCATCCATGACCGGGGAATAAGTCTCCTCAAAATCAACACCTGGTCGTTGAGTGAACCCTTGAGCGATGAGCCTTGCTTTGTACCGTACTACCTTATTATTTTCATCTCTCTTTCGAACAAAAACTCACCTATGGCCAACAGGGCGAATGTGTGGAGGAGTTCGACAAACTGGTCCGAACACCTTCCTTTTGTTGAGAGATAATAATTCGGCAGTAATTGCCTACTGCCAATCTTTCCAATCCGACCTTCTCTTGCAATCAGCGAGCGTGTTAGGCTTAGGGTCAAGATCTATGATTGAAGCAATTTTCGTAGCAAAGTTGATGTCGACAATCACCATTGCTCGGTTCAGGGACTCCCCCTTATAAATATAATTTATGGCCATTTCCTCATGGAGCGCATCTGGCGCAAACACTTGCTCTACCAAATTTCTCATTATGGGAGCAAGGTCCTTTAGATTTCCTGCGCCGATGTGTGCGCTCACATCTCCACAGGGTGTTTCCCCTATGGGAAAGTTTAAGTCCGGAATTTCGTGCACTGAATTTTCCGTACTTGTGTCAGGTCTCGACTGGCTCCCCGTTTCAATTTGGGGCACTTTGGCGACAAGCTGTAATAAATCTCTCTTATCCTTTTTCGTCAGGCATCCCCGAGTACTTGGGATTTGAGAAGTTGGATTTCTCGTCCTTTTAGGCCTTTGGACGGGAGCGGGTATACCATCATTTTTCTTCGGTATTTCAACCCTTTCCGGTGCATTGCGCGCGTGCACATACGATTTTGTCATAGTCTTTAAGTCACTAAAGTGGTCAGGCAGTTGATTTGCTAAAGACTGCAAATCTATTATCTTTTGGACTTCTCTCTCAGTCTCAGCAGTGCGCGGGTCATGAGCGTGGATCCCCGTGGCTTGCCACGTGATTTCTCGACTTTTAGCATCAAGGGGTTGATTCTCTCCCCCTAAAGTCGGGAAAAAATCTTCGTCAAAAATGCAATCAGCAAACGAGCCGTGTGACAATCACCTGCCATGGGGTCTAGATACCTGATTATGGACACAGTCTCATAACCAACGTATATCCCCGACTTACGAAGCGGGCCCATCGCCGATCGCTGAGGGGGTGGTATTGGTACATATACCTGTCAACTGAACCTACGAAGGTGGGAAATTTTCGGTGCCGACCCTTGCGCAAGTTGAACAGGAGAGTGGATGTTGTAGGCCGACGGTCGAAAGTTGATGAGATTAGCCGCGTGTAACACCGCGTGGCCCCAACATGTAGTTGGTAAATTACAACCCTGAAGGAGCGGTCGGGCAATGAATTTAATTCTTTTAATCAATGCCTCAGCAAGTCCGTTTTGTGTATGAACATGTGGTACCGAGTGCTCAACTTTGATTCCTATTGCCATGCAATAATCATCGAACGCCTTTGAAGTAAATTCTCCGGCATTGTCCATTCGAATAGACTTTATACGATAATCCGGGAAATTATTCCTCATTTCTATGACCTGAGAGATCAACTTTGCAAAGGCATGGTTCTGTGTTGACAGCAGGCAAACATTGGACCATTTAGAGGAAGCATCAATGAGCACCATGAAGTACCGAAACGGCCCCGTGAGGGGCTGAATTGGACCGCATATGTCCCCTTGGATACGTTCCAAGAACGGGGGGATTTCATCCCTCACCTTGAGGGGCGATGGACTAATGACTAACTTCCCCTTAGCGCATGCGGAGCACACGAAATCATCAGGGTTCGGGAAGTTCTTCACGTTAACATTATGGCCATGCGAGTTGTTGATTATATTTCTCATCATCCTAAGTCGGGGGTGGCCTAACCTATCGTGCCAGAGGCAGAAGAGTTTAGAGCTTCTAAAGACGGTCTTGAGGGTAGTGTACACGGGCGGTGCTACTATCTTAGTGTAGTATAGCCCTGTGTCAAATGAAGGAAGCCTTTCGATAACATGTTTACCACCTGCATCCCGCTTTGTGATGAGTAGGCACTCCTTGCTATTTTCATCATCGGTCTCAGCATGGAAACCATTAGCGCGGATGTCTCTAAAGCTCAAAAGAGTACGAGTCAACTCCGGGTACAACAACGCATCATTAATGATCAAAGTTGTTCCCATAGGGAGTATAATAGTGGCTCGTCCGGAGCCAACTATGTGAGAACCGCATCCGGCGATTGTCATAATACTTCCCGGAGATTTTTTAATGGACTCAAAGTACTTAGTTTCTCGTAAAATGGTATGAGTGATGGCGCTATCGGCAAGGCACGTTTCGTCCATTCGGGCGCCACACGCATTCTAAAATATGACATCTAATTAATGTAATGAGGAAGAAAATACATTAAAAATAAATGCACACATCTGAGAACATAACATGCTATCATGTATAAATAATGGAATAAATGAATAAAATAAATGTCATCCAATCACCAAAGTAAAGAATAAGTTTATGCTCTCATAGAGCTTACAACCAAATCGAATATATTCAAATTTATTGTATCAAATCACGGAATCATGATAACCAAAGAGGTATGCTAAGTGGACTCGGTGAAGAAGCCATTCCCTTCAGCCGCAATCTCCATACTAGTGAGCTGATCCTCCTTAGAAATCATCTTGGAGGCAGCATCAATGTCTAGTGGCGGCACCGCTGCTACCTCTTGAGCACTGCGTTGGATTCCCCCAAAGAGGAGAGGATGATGCAGTAAAGTAGCTAAGTATTTCCCTCTGTTTTTGAGAACCAAGGTATCAATCCAGTAGGAGATCACACACAAGTCCCTCGCACCTACACAAAACGATAGCAACTCGCAACCAACGCTTAGGGGTTGTCGATCCCTTCACGGTCACTTACGAGAGTGAGATCTGATAGAGATAATATTTTTGGTATTTTTGATAGATAGATGCAAAGTAAAAAGTAAAAGGCAAAGTAAAACAAAGCAAGTAAATAAAGTA